TGTTTTAAGTCTCCAGATTTGTGGCCATTAGTTACACGGATATACAAAACCAGCACCCTCATGTAAAGTAGAGGACTGACACTTATCTTTTTGCCCATTGCAATGAACAAGCTCACCTCCAAGTCACCAATGTTTATTGAACACCCACTATTCCACTGGAGCTGAGTCTTTGACTAGGGGACAGAACCTACCCTTTGTGAGCTAAAGGGTGGTAAAGGAGACAGAAAGACCAAAAAAAAAAAAAAAACAAGACAATAAAGGCAATAAGTGCTACAATCAAGATGGTGAAGCTTCACAGTGGTAACATTTCACCCGGATCATGAGGGATCGGGCTGAATTAGGAATTAGCCAGGCACAGAGGGGAAGGAAAGAAAGGTGTTCCAGACCCATGGACTGACACAGCAAAAGCATGGGCATGAGGGGGTACACGTTGTACCAAGTGATTGACAAGGGAAATTTTCATCAGATAGAAGTACCCGCGGATAATATATGACGAAGGAATTATAGATGTAGAGTATCACCATTCGTGCCCCTAAACCCCTGGTGAAATAACAGATCTAGGCAAAGATCATTTATCTGCTAAAAGACAAACAACCAGACATCACCTGTTCTTTTTTTATTGTGGTAAAGTCATGTAAAATAAAATTCACTTTTTTAGCTATTTTAAAGTGTCCAATTCAAGGGTGTATCATGCATTCACAGTGCTGTGCAACCATCACTGCTGCCTGGACCTAGTGCATTTTCATCTCCCCAGAAGGAAACCCCACTCCCATTAAGCAGTCGCTCCCCATTTCCCCCTTCCTCTAGCCCACAGCAATCACCAACCTGCTTTCTGCCCCTGCAGATTTGCCTATTCTAGATATTTCACCTAAATAGGGGAAACCACACAATCTGTGGCCTTTAGGTCTGGCTTATTTGGCTTCGCATGTTTTCAAGATTCAGCCTTGCTCGACATGTGTCAGTCCTTTGTTCCTCTTTATGGCTGAATAATATTCCATTGTCTGGATATGCCACGTTTTGGTTATTCATTTACTATCTGATGGACATTTGGGTTGTTTCCACATTTTGGTTACTGTGGATAACGCTACCATAAACATTTGTGGTGTGCAAGCGTTTGTTTGAATGCCTGCTCTCACCTCCTTTGAGTATTTGCCCAAGAGGAGAATCGCAGGGTCACATGGAAATTCTACGCGTAACCTATGGAGGAAGTGCCAGACTGTATTTCACGGCTGCTGTGCCATATTCTACATTCCGCCAGCAATACATGAGGGTTGAAGTCTCCCCACATCCTCGTCAACACTTATTTGTTTCCTTGCCCATCACGGCAGTGTGAAGTGATATCACCAAGTGCCTTCGGGGAAAGTACACCTGTGAAGTATTCTTGACAAAACTGAACTGACTTTGGATGAAGCCCTTGGAGCTGTGCTGGGCAAAAAAAATACCCAGTAACTGCTAGCCACAAGTAGCTATTCGTACTTGCAGTGTTTCCAGTCTGCATTGAGACATGCAGGAAGTGTCCAACCCGTGCTGGATTGCTCAGACTCCATAGGAAAAAAAGAACACAAGATATTTTGTGATCTTTTCTATACACTACATTGTTCATATTTTGGGTATATTGGGTTAAATAAGACATAGTAGTAAAGTGAATTTCATCTTCTCCTTTTCGTTTGATCAATATAGCTACTAGAAAATGTTAAAATTGCCTTTGTGATTTACATGATATTTTTATTGGGCAACACTGCTTGAAATCTAAGTACCAGTTTATAGGAAATGCAGAGAACAAACGTGAAACGACACCATAAGGTCGCCACCATTAAAATCTAATATGTGGGTAACTCTACAAGACAAAATACTCAGTTTCTTCGATAAATAACTTGCGAGGTTAGAAAAAGAGGGTGGGAAGCCTATGGGTTAAAAGAAATCTGAGAGACATACCAACGACTTTGTTTGGATATCAGAGAAACCAGCTCCAGCAATCCACAGAAATTTGAACACCTGCTGGATATTTGATAACAAGGAAGTATTGTGTTTTTTAGTGTCCAAATGGTATTGTGATTACCTTGTTTTAAGGATCCTTAATCCATAGATATACTTATTGCGATATTCACAGATGAAACAATATGATGTTTGAAATTTGCTTCCAACTAATCCATTAGGAAAAGTAATGGGGGCATGGGTGGGACAAGATCGGTCATTCACTGATAATTGTTGAAGCTGGGTGATAGTATATGGAGGGATCAGTATACTATCCTCTCTACTTTTATGTGTATTTGACAATTTCTATAGTAAATGTTTTCAGCATGGAGTGTTTAGGGAGCTGCAAGAAATTTTAAACAATACAATGTTGACATATAGCTAGGAAAGAGAAGGGAACTGACAAGAGATTAAAGTCAGCAGGAGACCAGACCACAGAAGGCCTAATAAGCACCACGAACACACACTAATACAGTTGGGTTTTACCTCCAGGGTCTGGCACGTAACAAACTTTACTGTGCATCAGAATCACCTGGGAAGTGTAATGAAACCACATTAGTAACCACGAGTTCCTTTCATCATATGGGGTAGTGCACCTCTGCCACGCCACGCAGATGCTCCACCCCTATTTGATGGGTACGCAATTCATGACAAGCCACAGGAACCTGTTTTCCTGTCAATAGTGCTTTGTCCAAGGGGTGGAATGTGACATCAGCAGGGCCATTGAGTGTCTTTCCCCGAGATTGATATATGAACAATGGAAGAAAGAACTTCCCGTTTGGACGGCATTGAGAAGCTGTTATTCTATAAGCTTGGAAATACCAGCAGCCATTTTCGCAGACACACGGAAGACAGTTTAAAGTAGGAGAGAATGAATTCCAAATATACGTAAAAAGAGCAGAGTCCATAGAGAGATAGAGAACATTTGATCCTGACCACTGCTGTCCAATAGAAATACAATGTGAACCAGGGGCGCCTGGGTGGCCCGGTCGGTTAAGCAACCGACTTGGGCTGAAGTCATGATCTCACGGTTCATGAGTTCGAGCCCCACCATCAGGCTCTGTGCTGACAGCTCAGAGCCTGGAGCCTGCTTCAGATTCTGTGTCTTCCTCTCCCTCTGCCTTTCTCCCCAGCTCACGTTCTGTCTCTCTCTCAAAGTGCAAGCTGCACGTGCTGTTTCAAGTTTCTAGTGTTTATGTTAAGAAAAGTAAAAGGAAACAGATGAAATTAATTTCCATGCTATATTTTATTTAGTCCAATATTTCCAAAATATTAAATATTATTTTCAACATGTAATCAATATAACAGATCATAGGGGCACCTGGGCGGCTCAGTCGGTTGAGCATCCAACTTTGGCTCAGGTCATGACCTCGCAGTTCTTGGGTTCGAGCCCCATGTCGGGCTCTGTGCTGACAGCTCAGAGCCTAGAGCCTGCTTCAGATTCTGTGTCTCCCTCTCTCTCTGCCCCTCCCCTGCTTGCACTCACATACACTCTCTCTCTCTCTTTCAAAAATAAATAACATTAAAAAAAAAAGTTGAAAGATCATTAATGACATAGGGTTTTTTTGTTTTGTTTTGTTTTTTACGGCATAGGAAATATAGTCGATAATACTGTAATAATGTTGCGGGTGACAGATGGCAACCACACCGATGCTGGTGAGCATTGAGCAACACACAGAATTGTCAAATCACTGGGCTATACAAGTTTTCTCTTCGTTATGCTGTCTGAAAGCCGGCATGTGTTTCACATCTCCATCACATTTCAGTTTGTGTTACCCACGTTCTAAGTGTTCAACAGCCACATGTAGCTCGTGGCTGCATTATTAGCACACCTCTAAAGCCATTCCCACTGAAGCCAGCTCTTGTTCTAATTGTGTTTTCTTAGATTCTACATCAGTCTCTTTGGCACCCAAAGTAACAGATGAAGTTGTTTACATCTCCCCTGAGATCCAGAGTTGATACTCTGAAGTCACCTCCTTCAGGGAATTCACACCACCAAGACGTTATGTCTCCTGCCCTAAATCAACCCAGGGCCCGGTAACAGACTACCAGGTACAGTTGCTATCCCCCAAAGGCCACCTGATTTATTCAAACTAGCTAGTCCTAAACTGCCTTGCCTGTCCTGCAGGAATCCCAACAAAGGCTGTGGTCTACGCCCCCTCAACGATCCCACTCCACCCCCGCTCCCTTCCACCTCGTGCTTCCCCAAATGGTCCTGTGTGGCATAGCATACCCTCTCCTCTTAGGAAATTAATTAATACATTAGTCTTTCAATGGTATTGACGTCTCCACATCATCATTTAGTGACCTCCGTAAATTAAAATCTCACAGATGTAATTGAGATCATTTTACCCCCTAAACTTCCTTGTCAGAGGAAATAATAGATTCCTTTTTTGACCTAAGCTAGTTTGAGATGAGGTGCTGTCACTTACCAACCTAAAGAATTCAGGCTAACCTAGGCAGGTCCCCAGGTTCTAACCTAAACTCTAGAAACTACATCTGAATACAATGCTTCTTATACAGCTGGCATAGACCTCAGGCAGGAGTTTGGGAACCCTCATCGTGGGCCAAAAGGCCACGGCAAGTTCTTAAGTAGATGAAATGAAATGATCAGATTTGCGTTTTAAGCCAATCCCTTCTGGCACTTGGTTTGGAAGACGGCCCAAGAGGGCAAGAGATGAGAGCAAGGCCGCTTTACAGGCCCCATGGGGCCGCACACCGATTGGTGGTGCGCATTCCCCGAGCGTGCCCGCCATTCCCAGGCCACTGGGCGTAAAAGGAAAAGGAAGGGATGTGGGCATTGGCTGACATTCCCTTTGTGCTGCTTGCCCAGGAGGGCGTATTTTTGGGAAGGGGTGTGTTCTGAGAGTAGGGAGGAAGTCGCCACCCCATTGGAAAGAATCTGCCACCCTGCCTTCCAGCTGAAATATCAGATAGAGTCTGTTCTTCTCCATGGGCGGCAGGGAACGGAATGGCCAAGGGTTTTTTTGTTTTTGTTGTTGTTGGTTTTTTGGTTTGTTTTTTTGTTTTTTTTTTTTTTTTTTGAGAGAGAGAGAGGTTATATGAAAGAACACGATGTCTTAGGCTCACAAAGGGAAAAAAGATAAGGGAAAAGTGGCAAGTTAGAAAGTCCATTGTGTATGTTATCTCTGTTATTTTAGATTAAGAAAAAGCAAATATGGCAGATTGGGTTTACCATTTCTGCCAGCCTGGTCCAAAACTGTTGCTTTTATCCTTTTTCCTTGGTTTTGCATTTTGGCAGAGGCTCTCCCTGGGAATTTTCTGGTGCTCAGCACCACACTGCCTTGCTAAGGAAGAGATCGGAAGGCCCACTGGGTGAAGCAAGGGACTGCTGCGAAAAAAACAAAAAAACGAAAACATAAAAAACATCTCCCTAAACTCTAGAGACACTTGGAAACCTTTGGCATGCAGGTACTTAAAAACACTTTCTTTTCCAGGGGGTATATGAAAAATAGGATTGGCGTTGCAGCAAATGGAAAGATAATGGAGAGGTTGAGCATATCCAGGGAGGGCAGCAAGCTGGCTCCCGAGAAGCCCCGCTACTCTGGTGAATATAGTCCAGGCCACGTCTGTCCTCAGCCCCAGCCATTCAGAATCCGGATCTTATCAGCACCCCAGGGCAGCCTTAGCTCTTAGAAGCAGATACACATTACCTAAGCTTGTAAAACTAACGGATAAAACTAAAATTCCAATTCATTAAACAGTAGACTTTGAACAGTAGACTCACTAAGGCTCAGACACTTAGTGTACCCAAGCTTTAGCATATAATCAGAGTAGTAAAAGTAACAATAGAAGCTAACATTTGCCAGGTTCCTCCTATGTGCCAGTCACCGAGCTAATGCTTTACGTGAGTTTTTTCACTTACTTTGAAATCGGTACTTGTATTGTCCTCAAATTACAGATGAAAAAACTGAGGCAGAAGCAAGTTATGCTTAATTTGCCCAAGGTCGTATGTCGACTCCCCCATCTGACCCTTAAACTAGAACTGAACAGGACAGAAAGTTGACAGAAAACTTGAATGAGAGGCTCTGTAAGCATAAGCATTGTTGCTTTGGGGTACAGGTAGAGCACACTATGCCCCCACACCCCCGCCCAGGGCCAGCCCTGCTCCTCACTCACAAGACATGTGACTTTACAAGCCTGAGGAGGAAGCGCTGGCACACTCTTGGTACTTCTTACATTGAGTCCCTTCAACTTTGGCCACAGTAATGGTCCAGTGAGATTGCCACGGAGGCCCAAATGCCCATGTCAGCATGACCAAGGCATTCTCTCCCTGAAGACAGACCCCCAGGGGACACCAAATTTTAACTCACTGGAGAGTCACTTCCTTAGGACACCTCCTCTGACATCCTCCTCCCGTCCTCATTTGCCATCTTGCCACAATATACACAGCACCCTCCGCTTCTGGTTTTAGCGCTTATCAAATCAGAGTTGAAGAAATGTGTTGACCGTCTACCCCTCCTCTGCTGGACTGCCAGCCCCATGAAAGGAACCACGTCTGTTGTTAGCCTCTGCTCCAACCCCACACCTCATATGATGACCGGGCATAACAAACAATAAATAATATTCCTCTGCTCCTGAGGACAGACAAGCTTCTCGAGTCACCTTCAGAACCTACTCGCTCTCCTGCTTGCTCCGATCTGGTGACCCTCCGCCATTCTGCTGGCGTCACCACCACCTCCACGAGCCAATTCCAACAGATACTCTCAGTCTTGCTTTACTAGATCTTAGAGCAGCTCTTGACAGGTGACCACTCTCTCTGGTTTAAAATGCTTTCCTCTAGGGGCACCGGGGTGGCTCAGCTGGTTAAGCATCTGACTTTTGATTTCTGCTCAGGTCATGATCCCAGGGTCAGGAGATCGAGCCCCGCGTCAGGCTCCATGCCCAGTGTGGAGCCTGCTTAAGGTTCTCTCTCTCCCTCTACCACTTCCCCTCCCCCACCCTGCCACACTCTCTCTCTCAAAAAAAATTCTTTCCTTTAGGGGCTCCTGGACGACTCAGTCAGAAGAGCGTGCAATTCTCAGTCTTGGGGTTGTGAGTTTGAGCCCCAGGTTGGGTGTAGAGATTACTTTTGTAAAAAATCTATCTATCTATCTATTTGGCACCTGGCTGGCTCAGTCAGTGGAGCATGTGACTCTTTACCTCGGGATTGGGTGTTCAAGCCCCACACTGGGTGTAGAGATTACTTAGAAATGAAAATTTGGGGGCACCTAAGTGGCTCAGTCAGTTAAGCATCCCACTCTTGATTTCCACTCAGGTCATGATCTCATGGTTCATGAATTCAAGCCCCATGTTGGACTCTGAGCTGACAGCATGGAACATGATTGGGATTCTCTCTCCTCTCTCTCTGTCCCTCCTAAGCTTGTGTTCTCTCTCTCTCTCTCTCTCTCTCTCTCTCTCTCTCAAAATAAATAAATAAGCTTTAAAAAAAATTTTAATCTTTAAAAATAAATTCATTAAATCCTTTCCTCTAAACACAACGGGAGGCCACTTCACACCCATTAGGATGGCTATTATTTTTTTTCAGGATGGCCATTATTTTTTTTAAAAGCATTTTTTAAACAGAATATCAGCGTCGATGAGGATGTGGAGAAATCGAAACCCTCGTGCGCTGCTGCAGTTGCTGTAGAAAATAGGACGGTGGCTCCTCAAGAAATTAATCATAGAATTACCAGATGATCCAGTAATTCCGCTTCTTCATATATAACCCCCCAAAAAAGTCAAAGCAGGGTCTCAAAGAGATATTTGTATGCCCATATTCATAGCAGTCTTATTCACAATAACCTAAAGGTGGAAGCCACCCAAGTTATCCATCAACAGATGAATGGATAAACAGTGTGTGTGTGTGTGTGTGTGTGTGTGTGTGTGTGTGTGTGTGTATGCATACAATGGAATATTTAAAACAAATTTTTTAATATAAAAATATTTTTATTGAGGTGGCTGGGTGGCTCAGTCAGTTGAGTGTACAACTTCAGCTCAGGTCATGATCTCACGGTGAGTTCAAGCCCCATGTCAGGCTCTGTGCTGACAGCTCAGAGCCTGGGGCCTGCTTCTGATTCTGTGTCTCCCACTCTCTCTGCCCCTCCTGTCCTCACGCTGTCTCTCTCTCTCTGAAAAATAAATTAACCTTTAAAATTTTGTTTTAAATATTTTTATTTAAAAAAAATTTTTTTTAAGTTTATTTATTTCGAAAGAGAGAGAGAGAGAGGGTGTCAGCAGGGGAGAGGCAGAGAAAGAAAGAGAGAGAGAGAGAGAGAGAGAGAGAGAGAGAGAGAATCCCAAGCAGGCTCCACACTGACAGTGCAGAGCCCAATGCAGGGCTCAAACTCACAAACCATGAGATCATGACCTGCGCCGAAATCAAGAGTCTGTCACTTAACCGACTGAGCCACCCAGGCGCCCCTAAATATAAAAATATTTTTAGGGGTGCCTGGGTGGCTCAGTCGGTTAAGCGTCTAACTTCAGCTCAGGTCATGATCTCACGGTTCGTGAGTTCGAGCCCCGCATCCAGCTCTGAGCTGACAGCTCAGAGCCTGGAACCCACTTCAGATTCTGTGTCTCCCTCTGTCTGCCCCTCCACTGCTTGCACTCTGTCTCTTGCATTGTCTCAAAAATAAATAAACAGGGGCGCCTGGGTGGCGCAGTCGGTTAAGCGTCCAACTTCAGCCAGGTCACGATCTCGCGGTCCGTGGGTTCGAGCCCCGCGTCAGGCTCTGGGCTGATGGCTCGGAGCCTGGAGCCTGTTTCCGATTCTGTGTCTCCCTCTCTCTCTGCCCGTCCCCCGTTCATGCTCTGTCTCTCTCTGTCCCAAAAATAAATAAAAAACGTTGAAAAAAAAATTTTTTTTAAATAAATAAACATTAAACAAAATTTTAATAAATAAATAAATAATTAAAATAAAAATACTTTTAAAAGCTTTTAAAAAGGAAGGAAACTGATAAATGCAAGACATGGATAAACCTTGAAGGCATTATACTAAGTGAAATAAGCGAGCAACAAAAAAGGCAAACGCTGTATGATTTCACTCATATGAGATACCTAGAGTAGTCAGTCATAGAGACAAACAGTAGAGTGGTGGTTGCCTGGGGTAGCAGTGAAGGGAAGATGGAGAGTTGTTTAATGAGTACAGAGTCTCAGTTTGGGAAGACAAAGAAAGTTCTGGAGATGGACAATGGTGACGGTTGCAAAACAATGTGAGTGTACTTAAGGCCACTGAACTGTCTATGTTAAAATGGTAAGTTTTATGTCATATATATATGTATACATATACATATATATAGGTATATATGTATATATACACATATGCATATACATAAGCTTTATGAGCAACATGGGGCTTGAACTTACAACCCTGAAATCGAGAGTCACATAGGAGCACCTGGTGGCTCAGTCGGTTGAGTATCTGACTTTGGCTCAGGTCATGATCTCAAGGTTCGTGAGTTTGAGCCCCACATCGGGCTTGCTGCTGGCAGTGTGGAGCCCACTTTGGATCTTCTGTCCCCTTCTCTCTCTGTCCCTCCCCTGCTCACACACTCTCCCTCAAAAATAAATAAACATTAAAAAAAAAAAAAGTCACATGCTCCACTGACTGATCCAGCCAGGTGCCCCTGTTACATATTTTTTACCACAACAAAAAATGCTTTCCCAGCATGCCTGGGTGGCTCACTCGGTTAAGTGTCCGACTTCGGCTCAGGTCATGATCTCATGGTTCGTGGGTTCGAGCCCTGCATTGGGCTCTGTGCTGACAGCTCAGAGCCTGCAGCCTGCTTCAGATTCTGTCTCCGGATCTCCCTGCCCCTCCCCCATTTGTGCTCTGTCTCTAAAATAAATAAACTTTTTTTTTTTTTAATTTTTTACATGCTTTCTCTCGCAGCTTCTATTATACTTCATGCTCTTGGCTTCTCCTTTCCTACCTTCTTAGTCTCCTAGTCAAGCCACTTCTTAGTCTCCTAGTCAATTCCTTCTCTACCTGGATGAGAAATGCTGTAGTCCTTCCTTCCTTCAACAAATATTTGAGTGTCTACTGTATGCTAGGAATAAGCAGTGAACAAGAGACACAAAGTTTCTCCTATGGACCATATATTCTTACTAGATAGGTAATAATCTAGAAACAAATAAGTAAGTAAATATGTAGCAAGTTAGATAATCATAAGAGATACAACAACAGATAGATAGATAGATAGATAGATAGATAGATAGATAGATAGATGAAGCAGGTTAAGGGAAATTGGAAGAGTCAAGGATAGAGGCTGCTATTTCTTTACAGGATGCTCTGTTAAGGTTACATATGAGCAGTGAAATGTAGGTGGTGGGGAAGCAAACAATGCTGTTATATGGAAAAGCTTTCTAAGCAGATCACAGTGCAAAGGCCCTGAGGCAGAACAGAGTGCTTGAAGGATAGCAAAGGGCCCAGGGTGATGGAAGCAGAATGAGATGAGTGTGTACTCCAGGAGGTAATAGGGCTGGGGATATAGGTCATAAACAGCCTGAGAGACAGTTTCAGTCTGATTGAGAAGAGAAGCAAATAGAGGAATGACATGACCTGACAAATGTTCTGACAGGACCATTCTGGTTGCATTGTTAAGAATAAACTAGAGGAGGGGGACGCCTGGGTGGCTCATTCGGTTAAGCGTCTGACTTCAGCTCAGGTCATGATCTCACAGTTCATGGGTTCGAGCCCTAGGTCTGGCTCTGTGCTGACAGCTCAGAGCCTGCAGCCTGCTTCAGATTCTGTGTCTCTGTCTCTCTGCCCCTCCCCTGCTTACACCCTGTCTTTCTCTGTCTCTCAAACATAAATTAAAATGTCAAAAAAAGAAAAAGGAAGAAAAGAAAGAAAGAATACACTGGAGGGTGGCGCCTGGGTGGCTCAGTCAGTTAAGCATCTGCCTCTTGGTTTCAGCTCAGGTCATGATCTCAGGGTTCCTGGATTCGAGCCCTGCGTAGGGCTCTGTACTGACAGTGTGGAGCCTACGTGGGATTCTCTCTGCCTCTCTCTCTGCCCCTCTCCCCCTCTCAAAATAAATAAATAAACTTTAAAAAAGAGTAAACTAGGGGCACCTGGGTGGCGCAGTTGGTTAAGCGTCCGACTTCAGCCAGGTCACGATCTCGCGGTCTGGGAGTTCGAGCCCCACGTCAGGCTCTGGGCTGATGGCTCAGAACCTGGAGCCTGTTTCCGATTCTGTGTCTCCCTCTCTCTCTGCCCCTCCCCCATTCATGCTCTGTCTCTCTCTGTCCCAAAAATAAATAAACGTTGAAAAAAAAATTTTTTAATAAAAAAAAAAAAAAAAAAAGAATAAACTAGAGGAGGGAAGGGTGGAAGAGCTACTATAATAATCCAGGGGAGGGGCGCCTGGGTGGCGCAGTCGGTTAAGCGTCCGACTTCAGCCAGGTCACGATCTCGCGGTCCGTGAGTTCGAGCCCCGCGTCGAGCTCTGGGCTGATGGCTCAGAGCCTGGAGCCTGTTTCCGATTCTGTGTCTCCCTCTCTCTCTGCCCCTCCCCCGTTCATGCTCTGTCTCTCTCTGTCCCAAAAATAAATAAACGTTGAAAAAAAAAATATTTAAAAAAAAAAATAATAATCCAGGGGAGAGGAGAAGATGGCTTGGACAAGAGAGGCAGTGGCAGACATAATAACAAGTGGAAAATTAAGGAGCTCTCCTGGAGGGAGGATTTATTGACCGACTGGATATAGGATGTGAGAAAAAGAGGAGTGATCAGGTAACTCAAAGTCTGGGGTTTGAGCAACTGGAGGATGGAGATGCCATTTGCAGAGTTAGAGAAGACCAGGAGGGTGAAGGTCAAGGTTGGGCTTTGAGCATTTGGTCTGAGATACCTATCGGATATTCAACTGGAGACAGCTGGACACGTGGACCTAGAGTCCAGCACAGACATAGAACTTGGAGGTCCAATCCTGGGTCCTCCCTCCTCTTCCTCTTCACCCTCTATATGATCTCACCCATTTCCTCAGCTTTCCATACCACCTGTAGGCCTCATGGGCATTTGTTCTCTGCTGGTATTTAAATGTAAGACAGCACCATGTGACGTTGCCTCCCTTCCCTGAAAGTTCTACGTGTGAGGTAACTGGCAGTTTCACTACCCCCATTGTGCGCTCTAGTGAAGTTGGCAATCGCTAACAGACATGTGCTGTACAAGAAAACAAAGATCACATTTTTTGAGGGTTCCTGACTGTCCAGGACTTTTTTCAGAAGTTCCCTGTAGAATTTTCAGAACAAAAATAGGTGTGAACTGTGTGCACTTTGGAAAGGAATGAGTTGGCCACTGTAGGGCTAAGATTGGTATTGTTCGCAGAATGAAATTCCTGTTCACTGATGTTGTTTTGGGTTGGGCTGACCTTACGAACTGGATTTCTTTTCAGATGGGTGTATTTTTCCTTATTGCAAATTTCCTTCAATTCATCAGCAGAAATTCTAGCCACTTTGCTGGGAGCTTGTGACCCTGGGTTGGACGGCTTAGGTATTCGCCTTTTGACAAATGCTTATTTATTTATTTTTTTGGACTTTCTGCTTGGCACTTCCCGCTTTCCCCCTGGTGACCTTTTCTGGCACTACTTTCTGGTTTCATCCCCTACAAATCACTTCCTTTGGGTCACTTGAGTCTTTCTCCCATAGGAGAGTCTAATCATTTCCAACAACAAAGTTGAAAAAGACCTTCCTAGATTCCTGCCCTACCATTCATTCAGCGATTCCTGGGTTTCGTGACTTGGGTGAAATTCACACATCCATTGCTATATTTATCCATACTAAGAATTGCCATGGTGCTCAAAAGGGCACTGCATTTTCTAATACAATCCACACAGTACCTTGGGTAATTTGTGGCAGGCCCCAAGGTTCTCTTGTGGCCTGAGAGAACTCATTTTCTCTGGATTTGCCTGTCCATAAAGGTTTACTTATTTACCTATAATCTACCTGCAAGAAGAATGTATGGCTACTTATAAAAATGTAAGCACTGTAGCAAAATAGAATAAATTTGAGATGAGAAACATACAGCAAAGGGAGAAGAAGTAGGATACAAGTCATGAAGTCTCTGCTAAAGATGGATCAGAGTCTGGGGCGCCTGGGTGGCGCAGTCGGTTAAGCGTCCGACTTCAGCCAGGTCACGATCTCACGGTCCATGAGTTCGAGCCCCGCGTCAGGCTCTGGGCTGATGGCTCGGAGCCTGGAGCCTGCTTCCGATTCTGTGTCTCCCTCTCTCTCTGCCCCTCCCCCGTTCATGCTCTGTCTCTCTCTGTCCCAAAAATAAATAAACGTTGAAAAAAAAAATTAAAAAAAAAAAAAAGATGGATCAGAGTCTCCATAAGCAACACAAAGAGAGAAACATTATATAATGAGGTATAAAATGCGCAGAGCCCCTAATGGATAAAAAACACCAGCTGTATAGGACGAGCACAATTGCACTGTCTCCCAGGAGTCCACCCGAAGGACTTTAGAAAACAGTGTCCTACTGTCTTTCTCAAAGTGCAGTGAAGGATTTCATGGGACCTCCTTGTAATACCAAAGCACCAGTTAGCAGAAGTATTTCTACCTGAGGCTACAAAAACATGATTAACCTCCTCTGACACTACCAGAGGGTGAAGAACGAATGGAATGACCTCCATAGAAATGCTGTGAGGGCCTCAGGGAAGAGAAATGAGAAAAGGGTCTGGTGACAGTTCTCTGATTTTTAGGGCACTGTAAGAATGCCAAACACCACTCAGGAGCTAAGGATTTGATCAGATCTGCTACCAGGGCCATGATACCAAAGAACCTGTTTATCAAATTCAGTGATCTGAATGCCATGGTGACCGCCCCCCTCCCTTCTTTTGTCCCCCCAGAAGGAAAGTGGGATAGGAGGAAGCAGTCTTGAGAGGCTGAGGAACAGCCCCAAGAAGGGATGTGAAAGAGGGCCTCACTTAAATAGGGCCGGATGAACTTCTGTGGGTTGCTTTGGCCCCATAATGACTTTTATTGGGTTTTTTTTTTTTAGCTTTTAATGAAATTCAGGTGAGTCTGTTGTACATTGTCTAGCGAGGATGGTGATGGTAGATGTTAGATTTGGTTTATTCACAGTCCAAGTTCACACAGCATCTTTTTCACTAAAACTTGCTTTAGCTTCTTCCTATCTGGGCGTGTCAGTCTAAATTTCATGATATAACTCAGGAAATGGAAAAATGGTTTTCAACTAGAGGGGGGAAAAATGAATTTAGATCAGCAAAACTCAACTCTTGTAGCCATGATTTAATTGTTGCTAATGTGAAGTTAAAAGTGTTCTCATTCTTAAGCTTAAATCAGCATGTAATTGACACACGAATTTTCATAACTGGCCTGTGAAATGTACAAGGGGGATCCAAATGAATCCAAGAAAGTAAGGCTCGTATGTTTCTTTGCATTAAGAAAGAATGGAGGGGCGCCTGGGTGGCTCAGTCGGTTAAGCGTCAACTTCGACTCAGGTCATGATCTCACAGTTCGTGGGTTCGAGCCCTGCACTGGGCTCTGTGCTGACAGCTCAGAGCCTGAAGCCTGCTTCAGATTCTGTGTCTCCCTCTCTCTCTCTGCCCCTCCCCTGCTCACGCTCTCTTTCTCAAAAATAAAATAAACATTAAAAAACTTTTTAGAAAAAAAAGAAAGAATGGAGGAGAGGGGAAGAAAGGAATGAAAATTCTGAAATACTGACAAATATTAATCATCAAAAATTAAAAGTCCCTCAAAAGGAAGGATAATAATAGCTTTCTCTGAATCACCATTCAATCTGCACAGTATATCATCACCAACAGGAATCTTGCACTTACACGGTGGGGGCTTGCGGGGGGGGGGGGGGGGGAGGGGGGGCAGGAAGCATTTTTTTTCTAACTTCTTTTTCAGACTAATGACTACCTTAATCTCCAGTATGGTAATTCAATATCATCTAGAGTTGAGACAAATACTTCTGTATAGGCTAAGTTACGCTAATAAATTTATTTAAAAAAAAATAAAAAGTTTCAAAAGTATGTGTTACCAAACTTAGAAATTGGAAAAAAAAAAAAAAAGTAAGACTTTCAAAACTATATGTTACTAAAAATAACACTGACCCTTGATATTTGTCTGAAGAATCCTCTGGAGAGAAAAGGATTTCATCCATTGGAGATAAATGGGGCCAACTCATCCGTGATCTTTGGTTTAATTAGCTAAACTCTTCCAGATGGAGGACATTCAAAGCAAAGGAATATTTCTGAGCCCCCTGGAATTGTTAATAAGCATAACAATATGTTACATGTACAAGAAAATATGTGTCTTTTATCTTTGTCTTTAAAGGGCAAATGAGGAAGTACTTGGTAGCATTATGATTTTCAGTTTGATTACTGAAAAAGAAATGTCCGAATTTTATTCAATGCTGAACAAACAAACTGAGTATTTGCTTTACTCCTATGCTAAGCATGGGGCTGGGGGTGGTGGATGAGACAAGCCCCCGGCCCTATGGAATCCACCATTTAAGTAGAGGATACGTTCCAGTGCCTAGCGCAATGTAAGGGCTGGATAACTATTTGTTGAATAAAGAAGTGAATGATGTAGACGTTTGTATAAGGAATCGCATTAATAAAGGTCTGAACAAGTTACTGTGGTCAGAGGAGAGCGTGGGGGACCTCAAGCTGTCAGAGAAGGCTTCACAAAGAAGGTTGTCAGGAACACAAAAGACTTCCAGACACAGAAAACAGCATGCTTAACAGCATGGAGAGAAGAAAAGAGTAACATGTATTTAGGCAACAGCTAGTAATTTGGTGTGGCTGGAGCATAATGTGTATATACAATGTGCCTGGAAGATAGTGAGACCACGGAAATGGGCTGGGGCTCATTTAAAGAGGACCCTGAAAGCCAAAGGTTAGACTTGATCCTTGAGTACGTTAATGGAATTTTAGAAAGATAATAGAAGACACAGTATGGATGGAGTATGTATAGAAGTGAGAAGGAAGTAAAGGATACCAAAGGCTAAGAGCCTTGTTTGTGACTGGCACTAGGATGGGTCCAGCACATATTTACATTAAATCTCATTTAATCCTTGGAATACTCTGAGTGAGTAGAAAATACTATCCTAATTTTCGGGGGGGGGGGGAGGGGCCTCAGAGAGGTTAAGCAACTCTCCATAGCTCACACAGCTAATAAAAGATGGAGCTAGGATTCGAAATCAAGGCAAGAATCTCGGAGAGTAAAAACGCCATTGGACCTATACGAATTAGTATCAGGAAAAACAGACACTGGAAGTTTGGAGAAAGTTAGCAAGTCGCACATGCAAGACACAGAAAGAAAAGCATGACTATACAAAAGGATATTTACAGTAAGGGAGATACAACACAGGAAGTGGGAAGATAATCATAGAAAAACCACAACATGTGTTTTTAAAATGCAAAGCCCCGGGGAGGAGAAAGCAAACGATACAATAATGCCATTCACTCTGGCCTCCTGTGCATTTGGTTTCGCTCTTTACTTTTTTTTTTTTTTTTAACTTTAAACAATTTGTTATGAGAGTAACAAAGATACAGCTCATGATCTTGCAACTCTAATGCCCTAAATCAGAAACAGATGGTACCTAGTGTACCCTGTTTCCTAGAAACAGCAGAATTTTGAGGACAACACCCTCCGAGCACCGCACCACTGATTTCAGTTCCTTCACAAAGACTAATACACGGCTAAATAATGTGGTTGCTGGGCATTGTATTGAAACATCTGTTTTTCTTGCTCGAGAACCTTCTTGAAGGTCAAAACTTCTCTGTGTTTTTATTGTTGTTGTTTTTTTTTAATTTCAAAAGTAATCCATTCTTATCATTTCTGAACATGGAAGAAAATTAAAGTCCCCTGTAATCCTTCTACCTTGCAATAACCAATGACCACTTTAACATTTTGACAACATTCTTCTAGTTCTTTTTCTACACATACACGGGCATAAATACACACACATGAACAAACTTTATAGAAAATAGGATGTATACAAATTGTCTTCTGATCTGTTTTGTTCATTGGATATATCATTAATGTTTTTTTTTCCATATCCCCAAATATTTATGATGACCACTAGTATTCCATCATATCATATAAATTAATCTATTTAACCAATCTATTTTTCATCCAACAAATTCTGTTCATGGAACACCCACTTTATGTCAGAACTGTGCTTGGTACTGGGTGCACAGTGGGGAGTGAAACAGTCAAAATTCCTGCCCTCATGGAGTATACTGTCCTGTTACTGATGTGTAGCTTATTTGAGAACTTTTTTTAAGTAGGCTCCATACCCAGCATGGAGCCCAACGTAGGGCTTAAACTCAGGACCCTGAGATCAAGAACTGGGCTGAGGTCGAGTCCAACACTTAACCAACCGAGCTACTCAGGCACCCTGCTTATATTAGAACTTACATTATTAGAAAATTGCACAGTGAAACCTGGCAAATGCTACCTCTACTGGGTGGTCAAGGTTAACATCATTGGTGAAAGCTCATGTAGACAGTTTGTCCCCAGCTTAATAACTAAAACCCCCGTTTAATAATGATTTTTTTTTTTTAATCAAGAGACATGCTACAAAATATCTGACCAGTGCTCCTCAGAACTGTCAAGGTCATCAAAAATAAGGAAAATCTGGGGCGCCTGGCTGGCTCAGTTGGTAAGAGCATGCAACTCTTGATCTTGTAAGTTCGAGTCCCACATTGGGTGTGGAGATGACTTAAAAATAAAGTATTTAAAGGGACACCTGGTGGGGCGCCTGGGTGGCGCAGTCGGTTAAGCGTCCGACTTCAACCAGGTCACCATCTCGCGGTCCGTGAGTTCGAGCCCCGCGTCGGGCTCTGGGCTGATGGCTCAGAGCCTGGAGCCTGTTTCCGATCCTGTGTCTCCCTCTCTCTCTGCCCCTCCCCCGTTCATGCTCTGTCTCTCTCTGTCCCAAAAATAAATAAACTTTGAAAAAAAAAATTTTTTTTTAAAAATTAAAAAAAAAAAAAGGGACACCTGGGTGGCACAGTTGGTTAAGCATCTGACTTTAGCTCAGGTCATGATCTCGAGGTTCGTGAGCCCTCACAGCCGGCTTTCTGCTGTCAGCGCGGCATCTGCTTTGGAAAATCAGTCTCCTTCTCTGCCCTTCTCTCTCTCAAAAATAAATAAACCTTAAGGAATGTTTTAAAAAATAAAATCTTTATGGGGCACCTGGGTGGCTCAAACGGCTAAGTGTCTGACTTCAGCTCAGGTCATGATCTCACAGTTCGTGGGTTTGAGCCCTGCATTGTGCTCTGTACTGACAGCTCAGAGCCTGGAGCCTGCTTTGGATTCTGTGTCTCCCTCTCTCTCTGCCCTTTCCCTCTCACACTGTGTGTGTCTCTCAAAAATAAACATTTTTTTTTTTTTAAAAGAAAAAAGAAAATCTTAAAAAAAAATAAGGATAGTCTGGCAAACTCTTACAGTCTTGAGGAACCTAGGGAGACATGACAACTAAATGTAATAACGTAGTGTTCTGGATAGAATCCCAGAACAGAAAAAGAATAGTAGGTTAGGGGTACCTGGGAGGCTTAGTCGGGTAAGTGTCTGACTTTGGCTCAGGTCATGATCTCGTAGTCCATGAGTTTGAACCCTCATCGGGCTCTGTACTGACAGCTCAGAGCCTGGAGCCTCCTTCAGATTCTGTGTCTCCTTCTCTCTCTGCCCTTTCTCTGCTCACACTCTGTCTTTCTCTCTCTCTCAAAAATAAATAAACATAAAAAAAATTAAAGTAGCTTAAAATTAAGGAAATATGAATACAGTATGGATTTTAGTTAATAAAATGAAATCAATAGTGGTTCATTAGTTGTGATGAATGTAATATGCGAATAGCAGTTGTTAACAATGAAGGAAATGAGGAGGAAGGATGGATGGAGTACAGAAGAACTCTCAGTACTATCTTTGCAACTTCTCTGTGTATCTAAAACCATGCTAAAATTAAAAGTTTATTAAAAATAAACACTGTGACAGTCATCCTTGCTTATTGAAGCACATCTCTGATTGCTTCCTTTGGATAAAGCCCCAAGAGTGAAATTGCTGAGCCAAAGTGTATACAAATTCTTATTTAGTAGAGATTAATTTTACAGTGTTATATATAGATGTTTTGCTGACTTTCTGAAGATGGGTTAGCCTTATGCCTTTATCCCTGCGTTTTCCTAGCTGGAGATCCAGGAGCTGGAAGAAAACCTAAGAGACCATGAATCCCAACTACCTCATGTTATAGACGAGAAGGAGTCAAGTGACTTGCCCAGGGTTGAGCACCTTGTTAACAGTGGGAAGTAGAACTCGTATCCCTGCAGACTGTCATCTGGGCTGGGCTGGGCTGTCCATGAGCATGTGCAAAAGAAATAAAGTTTTCTGACTCATAGTGGAATCAGTGATCAACAACCAGACCTGCCTCTATTTTCTGTAGGTAAACATACGGGTTTGCTTCCTTTGTTTTGGACACAGTTGCTAGGAACGAAAAGGATTTTTAAAGTTTCAGAATAGATTTATTTTTATTATTTTTTAATGTTTATTTATTTTTGAGAGAGAGAGAGAGAGAGAGAGAGAGAGAGAGAGAGAAACACTGGATCCGAAGCAGGCTCCAGGCTCTGAGCAGTCAGCACAGAGCCGAACATGGGGCTCAAACTCACGGACCATAAGATCGTGACACTTAACCGACTGAGCCACCCAGGTGCCCCTTAAAGAATGGATTTAGACACAACTAATAGAATTGCTTGACTCAATCCCTGGGCAAATTATTTTTCCTTTCTGAGCTATTGCTTCCCAATCAGAACAATCAATCTCTCAATCTTCTCTCAATCCCTCTCTCAATCTTCTCAACAATCCCTCTCAATCTTCTGAGAGGGACCTCGTAGAAATTAAGTAGCTAGAGCAGATTATCTGCTGGAGCCTTAGAAAGAGAAATGTCATTTAAGGAAAAGGCATTTGAATGAGAACAAAGGGCACAGTTTCTGTTAAGCAGTCTGTCATATCCCAAGAAAGTTCATTTCCTTGCCTGGTATGGTCTCTAGACAAGGAAAATCCCAGACTTGGCATTGGTAAGGAAGAAGAGGGCGATAGGAAGGAAGGGAGAGAATTGTTAGACTTCTTGGCTGGAAATCAGAAACAAATAGTTCCCGAGCCTGGCATTGTCAGGGGCCAGCGTCAGGACCAGCCCAAGAAGGCAGACGAGGAACATTACCGGTCCTGACTTGGCTCCACACACCGTTACTCAACAGAAAGTGGTGCGTAAGCAGGATTCTGGAGGATACAAGAGAAATGTAAACAATCACTGGGTGCGGACCTGCGGTTGCCTATAGAAGCTTTGCCAGGCCCGAGATTGCAGGAGTACATTTTGACTTTTAATTCCCAGACATTCTTCCAGGATTTGGGCAATGACAAAGGCGAGCTAAAACAAACTAAAGGCTGGGAATTAGGAAAGCACTGGCCTCTAATCTCAAACTGGAGCCTCTAATCATAGTCCTAACCCTCGCTCAGGTTAGCGAGCATCTTTGCTCTGCAACATGGAAATGACTTATTTTATTTGCCTATAAACATCTGTCAGCACCTGCACTGAATTGAAACTTGGCAGACAAAATGAGGAAGGGGCAACACTTCTAAAAACTCTTCCTATTTTTATGATTTGAACCGTTTACGTCTTTGAAACAGTAGAACAGGAGAAAGACATTAGATAACTTTCAGGATCAGATAAAAGGAGGAAAGAATTAAACAGATGGCAAGAATCTCCCATTATTATTTATTGCAGTCATGATTTTGCAGACATGCAAAGATGTGGGCAGTTTGATTGGCACTGCTTGTGACTGTGCAGCAGAAAAAGAAGTGATGGCCCTGAGTTTCGAGAGAGGACAGGATGAGGGGCGCCTGGGTGGCTCAGTCGATTGAGTGTCCGACTCTCGATTTCAGCTCAGATCATGATGTCTCAGTTCATGGGACCGAACCCCACATCATGCTCTGCGCTGACAGCGTGGAGCCTGCTCGGCATTCTTCATTCCCTCTCCCTCTGCCCCTCTCCTCTACTCATGCTTTCTCGGTCTCTCTCTCTCTCTCTCTCTCTCAAAATAAATAAATAAACACTTTTAAAAAGGGGGGTGGGTGGGGCGCCTGGGTGGCGCAGTCGGTTAAGCGTCCGACTTCAGCCAGGTCACGATCTCGCGGTCCGGGAGTTCGAGCCCCGCGTCAGGCTCCGGGCTGATGGCTCAGAGCCTGGAGCCTGTTTCCGATTCTGTGTCTCCCTCTCTCTCTGCCCCTCCCCCGTTCATGCTCTGTCTCTCTCTGTCCCAAAAATAAATAAAAAACGTTGAAAAAAAATTTTTTTCTTAATAAAAAAAAAAGGGGGGTGGGGAACAGGATGAGATGGGAGCATCTGGGTGTGATCTCAAAAGAGTCCAGAACTAAATGAAAATCTATACTTTAAAATGTGGATTTCTAGCTTAACTGTATTGTGTGCTTTTACCTACAAAAGTAGTTCTGGGCTCTATTCATGCAAATAAAAACTCTTTACTGGATCAGCTTTGATCTTGGTCGGTAAGGTCAATATTAATTATATTTCACTGAGATGACTTAACTGCCCCCTGTTGGGCTTACCTATGAGTCTGGTTCCTTGTTGCTGCCTTCAATCCTACCTCTGGAGTTCCATTCCTTTAAATTGGATGGTAAGCAGATCATGTATCACAGGTCAATACCAGTCGACCAACAGAAGTCTGAATCACTATGTTGAAATGATATTAAGGTAGAAAAGGGCTCCCACGACTGATAAGCAAGATAACAAGAAAGGGAAGAGAGGCAATGTCTGTGGGTTAAGGCAATGTGTGTTGCAGTACCCATTCTTCTGGAAAGGGTTATTTATTAAGCTTTTATCTATTATCGGCACCTCAGTGTGGATATACTGGAGCTGGGTTTGTAGATACAGCATTGGTATTTTTAGAAGCAAAACTCAGGATGTATGGTTTAAGCAAGGACTTTCTTTTACTGATTTTGTAAATTAAATCACGTACCAATTCTCACAAAGATATACAAGTAATATTTGATTAAGCATGTAATGAATCACAACCTATTGAAATTTGTGGGAATTATTATATAAAAGGTAATGAAAACACTCCAGGGCACACCTACCCAAGGATAAGTCCAAAGCACAGGACAGTCAACTCTGGCTGGGAACCCTGCGCTTTCAGGGGCCATCAGAGGGCCCTGGTCTCTGAAGTCATGGTGGTTTCAGAAGCAGGTCGAAAGTATAATGAAAAAAGGAAGTGAAAAGTCACTGACATACTTCACTTATTCCACAATTTTGCTTTTTTAAAAGAAACTTCTCTGCAGGGCTCGGCACTAAGCGTTGCTTTGGGAGAGCTTCAGTCTAGATAGCATGGTCAGGGTAATTATTAACTACTTACAATATCATCCTGGCTCCCCCTGAATTCACTGACCTTACAGTGATGTCTTCTCTTTTTCAGCAAGGATCTTGTGGGCCCACACACATGCTAAGGCTCTCTATATTGAGGTCAAATCAACCTTTCAAAAAAAAAAATTATTTACAAAGTTTGATTTCAACTGAAATAAAACTTACATCTACAACAAGAATTCACCAAGTTATTTTTTAATTAAAAAAAAAAATTGGGGGGGGGGGCGCCTGGGTGGCTCAGTCGGTTGAGCATCCGACTTCATCTCAGGTCATGATCTCATGATCTGTGAGTTCGAGCCCCGCATCGGGCTCTGTGCTGACAGCTCAGAGCCTGGAGCCTGCTTTGGATTCGTGTCTCCCTCTCTCTCTGCCCCTCCCCCGCTTGTGCTCTGTCTCTCTCTGTTAAAAATATATAAACATTTCAAAAAATTTAACATTTATTTATTTTTGAGAGAGACAGAGCACGAGCGGGGGTGGGGCAGAGAGAGAGGGAGACAGAATCCAAGGCAGGCTCCAGGCTTTGAGCTGTCAGCACAGAGCCTGACATGGGGCTTGAACTCACAGACTGCGAGATCATGACCTGAGCTGAAGCCAGAGGCTCAACCAACTGAGCCACCCAAGTGCCCCTCACCAAGTACTTTAAGCACGGAGTTGTAAAGAGAAACATTTCAATAAACTCTAACTCCTCAGCAAGAATGAAAAAGCTCTCTCCACTGTAACTCCATCCTTCTCAACCACTTCCCAACCCGGTTCTCTCCATACACTCAAGACTTTTAAGCCTAGAATGCTTTCTCCTTCTTGTGCATATCTTTTACTACAATGATCACACTTTACTGTTATCTGTATTTCTTTGTCTATTAAACCTCAAAAACAGAGAACAGGAAATGTGTATTCTGTCCAGATACCTCCTGAATACTTCGTCACTGCCAGGCACTGTGCCAGGCGTGAGAGATACGACAGAAAACAAGGTGGACAAGATCCCTAACTGCATAGAGCTCAATCCAGTGGGGTCTTTCTAACCCAAGTGCCTAGCTCATGGTAGGTGTGCAATCAAGACTGAAAGAATAGGGGCACCTGGCTGGCTTTCAGTCTGTACCACCTGTGACTTTTGATCTTGGGGTCGTGAGTTCAAGCCCCACACTGGGCATAGAGCTTACTTTAAAAGAATAAATGAAAGAAAGAAAGAAAGAAAGAAAGAAAGAAAGAAAGAAAGAAAGCAAGCTTCTGCCAGGAATTTATAAATTAGTTGCTTAGGTTAATATGACAGCACATAGGTAAAAGGCAGAAATAGGAAATCTTAAGTCAATTGCATTGTGGTTGAATCCCGAGTCATTTCCACCATCACTAATGGCAATTATTGAAAGTAACAGCCCAAAGAGCAGGAAACCACATTCTTAGAATCCAAAAGAAAGCAGATTATGTAAAAAAGCTTTTGATGTGGAAGAATACTAATTCCGATTAAAAAAATTATTACCTAAAAACTAAGATCCATATACATGGAGAGTAGAACTCCTGACTTATTCTGATGCTTCTTGAACTGACTATATCATGGAAATAAAGGTCAAAGAAGGCTCCGTAGTCAGGAAATGCTGTGCACTAATAGATACATATTTTTTAAGTTTATTTATTTGGAGGGGAGAGGCAGAGAGAGAGAATCCCAAGCAGGCTCCACGCTATCAGCACAGAGTCTACTGTGGGGCTCAAACTCATGAACCGTGAGATCATGACCTGAGTCAAAATCAAGTGTTGGATTTAACCAACTGAGACCACTGAGGCACCCTAGATATTTTTAACATATTGGGAAAATGACAATAAAACAGTGTTTCTGAATTTTTTTCCCATAAAACAATGATCCAATGAGTTGTTCCCTGAAAAGAGTATAAAGTGTCTGGAAAACATCACACATAAGCCCCTCTCGCAGCTTCACAAAGCACGCTATCATATTAATGTCTCTGAAAAGTTCTGCAGAAAAGAAATATGTTTAACTGTGTTAATCATCATTTCCCATACTTACTTAAACCACCAAATTCTTTTCTTTTTAATTTATTTAAATTCAAGTTAGTTAACATACAGTGTAGTCTTGGCTTCAGGAGTTGAACCCAGTGATTCATCTCTTACGTATGACACCCAGTGCTCATCCCAACAAGTGCTCTCCTTAAGGCCCATCACCCATTTAGCCCATCCCTCCCCCCAGCTCCCCTCCAGCAACCTTCAGTTGTTCTATTTAATAGTCTCTTATGGCTTGCCTCCTTCTCTGTTTTTGTCTTACTTTTCCTCCCCTTCCCGTGTTCATCTGTTGTGTTTCTCAAATTCACATATGAATGAAATCATATGATATCTATCTTTCTCTGACAGACTTAATTCACTTAGCATAATACATTCTAGTTCCATCCACATTGTTGTAAATGGCAAGATTTCATTCTTTTTCATTGCCAAGTAGTATTCCATTGTGTGTGTAGATTTCTTTTGTTTAAATTTTTTTTTAACGTCTTATTTATTTTTAAGACAGAGTGAGAAAGAGCAAGCGAGCAAACAGGTGAGGGGCAGAGAGAGAGGGAGACACAGAATCCGAAGCAGATTCCAGGCTCTGAGCTGTCAGCACAGAGCCCGATGCGGGGCTTAAACTCACAAGCTGTGAGATTATGACCTGAGCCTAAGTCAGACACTTAACCAACAGAGCCACCCAAGCGTCCCTTTGTGTTTGTAGATTTCATTCTTTTTCATTGTCAAGTAGTATTCCTGTGTGTGTGTGTGTGTGTGTGTGTGTGTGTGTCTGTGTGTGTTTGCATGCGTGCATCACATCTTTTTTTTTTTTTTTTACCGCATCTTCTTTATCCATTCATCAGTTGATGGACATGATAGCACTGCTATAAACATTGGGGTGCATGTGCCCCTTCAGATCAGCATTTTTGTATCCTTTGGATAAATTCCTGGTAATGCAATTGCTCGGTCATAGGGTAGTTCTATTTTTAATTTTCTGAGGAACCTCCATACTGTTTTCCAGAGTGGCTGTACCAGTTGCATTCCCACCAACAGTGCAAAAGAGTCCCCTTTCTCCGCATCCTTGTCAACATCTGTTGTTTCCTGAGTTGTTAATTTTAGCCATTCTGACAGGTGTAAAGTGGTATCTCACTGTGGTTTTGATTTGTATTTCTCTGATGATGAGTGCTGTTGAGTATCTTTTCACGTGTCTGTTAGCCATCTGGATGTCTTCTTTGGAGAAGTGTCTATTCATGTCTTCTGTCCATTTCTTTACTGGATTATTTGTTTTGGGGTATTGAGTTATAAATTCAAAATGGATGAAAGACCTAAATGTGAGACAGGAAACCACCAAAATCCTACAGGAGAAAACAGGCAGCAACCTCTTTGAACTTGGCCACAGCAACTTCTTACTTGACATGTCTCCAGAGGCAAGGGAAATAAAAGCAAAAATGAACTATTGGGACCTCACCAAGAGAAAAGCTTCTGCACAGTGAAGGAAACAATCAGCAAAACTAAAAGGCAACCGACAGAATGGGAGAAGATATTTGCAAATGACATATCGGATAAAGGGTTAGTATCCAAAACCTAGAAACTACCAAATTCTCCTTTCAAAGAATATCTCTTAGGTTAGGAAAATCGGCTTTAAACTTCATTTTACAATACCGTTCACTTCTACTTACTCATTAGTGGTGATCTAGCAAACCAAGACATTCTCACAATACAGTGTCAGGTGATAAAAGTATTTTTCTTATAAAAGTATCTTTTAATAAAATTTGCTGCGCAAATAATAATCTTATTAACATTCTGCATTTTGCTTCTAAATGAAGTCACCAACTAACCACTAGATGGCAGTATGATTCCATTTATATTACAGTCATCCCACAGCAGCATAGTAATGGTTCAAAAGGTATTTGAGTTTCCTAAGGATTCCTTTGCGGGCTTATTCATTCATTTAGTAACTCCTTCAAACATTTTTAGGTAACTTTTAAGTTTCAAGGACTCTGATGGATGTTGAAGATCAGAAAAGGAATGACAAAGCTCACTGTAAACATTATAATCATTGGATTCCTAGGAAACTGTAAGGCGACACCCATCAATTTAACAAACACTTTTGTGGAATGAAGAGAAGAGAAGAGAAGAGAAGAGAAGAGAAGAGAAGAGAAGAGA